AGTAAAGTCTGTACGTGTTGCTTCGAAACCTGGTGGGTTCAATGGGACTGGTCTATCACAGAGTCGTACGAAAATGCTCCACCCACCTGTTCCGATGTTCTTAAATCTAAGTGACGGGCTTGCCTTCTTTGTTCTTGACTAGTCGCTGTGGTTTACAATATTTCCTTGCTAGTCTCTTCGTTGTGTCATATAGTTGTCTCATATTTCCTCCCTTTATAGCTTTTCCCACCGTCATTGCAAGATCTTCCGCGTACTTCTGTTTGTCGGCTCTACTGCCCCTCTTTACTCCCTTATCCGCTTCTGTGCATTCAGTCTGTGCCTCGAGTCCTGTTCAGACTATCTATAGAAATGCATTCTTTATGATGGTCCTCCTATAGACCCAGAACGTTTTCACATGTTGAAGTTAGTGCTTCTTTGGTTCCTTTCCAGTTATCCTACATAGTAGTTCCCTCTCCTTGGAGTAGACCTTGTCAGGTTTGGAACCTTTTATTGAGAGCTATCCTTAATCCACAGAGTTTGTCAGTATCTTTAAGAAAGGCGGTGTGTAACCTTTGTAATGCTGTTTCTCCATTTGTCCAGTGCTTCTTTAGCTTCGGTTTGACCTTGGCAACCACCAGTCACCACCACCAGGTGGTGATCCGATGCTGTGTCGGTACTTCTCTGTGTTCTTGCGTCTTCCATTGTTCTTCTGAATTGTTTAGTGATACAGAAATGATCGATCCGGTTCTCTGTAGTCTGATTCGGTGAGACTCACGTAGCTATGTGTATGTGTTTGTGGGGGGAATGTATTGCCAACTATAACCGTGGTTTTGAAGGCATATAAGTTTGTAAATCTCTCACCATTCTCGTTTTTTCTTCCAATCCATGTCATCTCATGATATCTTAATACCTAGTGTTATCCACTCCGACTTTGGCGTTTAAGTCTATCAGGATGATCAGGTCTTTTCCTGAGCACTTCGCTATGATCGATTGCAGCCTCTCGTAAAACTGATCTTTATTGTCGTTGTTGCTATCATTGGTGGGTGCATAACATTGGATAACATTCATTATGATCCCATCTTCTTTGTTTTGAAGGTTTGATGATTCTGGATAAATGAGATTCCCATCGTAGAAGTGCTTTTCGTGGTTGTCTGGACAGCATTGGTGTTACTCCTTGTGTGTGCGAAACACTTTCTCCTTCATGAACAGAGTACAACCTAATCTCTTCCGAAGCTAATCTTTCCTGTCCAGCTTGGGTTCAATGGGTTTCACTGATTTTGAGAACCGCCAAGTTGTATCTTTTGATTTCCGCAGCTATTTGACTGGTCCTTTTAGTCTCCAACATTGTCTGGACATTCCATATACCTATAATAAATGCCGCTCTGGTTTTGAGAAGGGACATTAGCCGATGACTTCCGATGAATCTCGGCTTTCATCATGAGGCGTCATAATTCTTCTAAACGTAGATCCTTTAACTCCCATTACATTGTATAGATTTTTTCTGGTTAGTGTTTTTTTAGCAGGGTTGTTTTCTATGGGATGTGGTTGCTGACCCCATATCTAACCCTCCTTTTTTATCCGGGTTCGAGACCGGCAGTAACCGTAGAAGAGCTACAGGTGAAGTTAATGGCTACTACTCCTTGTGTGTAATTATCTTTTATTGTGTCGCTACGTCTATATGCATTTCTTTTCAGTAAAACATGTTTGATTGTTTCTGTGCATGATTTTGATTTCGATACAGGTATCCAAAATGGGTTCTGAGATTTGTCTAAGCGGTTTCATTGGATTGGACTTGCCGAAGAGGAAATTATGGATATTAGGAGATATATTCATAGGTAAATTTTATACAGTATTCGATATGGGCAGAAACCGTGTCGGTTTTGCGAAAGCTCTTCATCCAGATTCTCTTCATCGTACAAAAACATATATCCCTATGATGCGATTATTCCCTGCTCAATCAGTTCCACAAGCGGCTTTAGAAACCCCAAATGGGGTGTTCGCCTTTTCCAAACTTCTTTTAGATGAAGTTTGAGAAAATGATTACTCCGTTCCGATTTCTACTGACATGATGCATCTATTTTATTTAAAAAGAGAGTAATATTTATTATTCATCGTTGATAATCTACATTTTTAACTATTATGTGTCTTTACTCTATTATCCGGTTTTTTTCGTCTCATTATTGTCATCATTACCTTTTGCACCTTTTTGTTAATCCCAAAAATGTTGTATTACACCTATCTAAATCTTGTCGTGTTCAATCGCAAAATTAAACGTAACTTGTTAAATCGCGTTTCGCTAAACTTGCAATAACCAAACTGTCCACTTTCTTAAAGCAATTTTCCATTCTAACTTCAGTCGTATTGTAGCATGGCTTAGAATATTTTCAGGTAGCTTGTACATAATACTCCTGCAGCGAGGTTTGTATTTGTAACTCAGATGTAGACATAGTCCCTCGGATAAACAATATGTAGTTCCATTGGCCTCCATGCAGAAATAGTGTAGCTTAAAGTTGTGTATGAATCTGTACTGAGTTAAGTTACTTCTGTTCAGTTGTTTAATTTTAAGGTTCTATAACGGTAGGATTTTCAACAATGGAGCTTCCAATAACTTTCAGATAAAGTTATCAGCACAAATTTCAGATAGAAATAGGGCATTCGAATCTATGCACAAATGATTAACACCTTGTTCTGTTGACCTTGGGTTTGGTTGGACAATGACGGCAGAATGTTTCATTTTTAAATACTTGTCACGTAGAGTAGTAACTAGTTGGTCAGTGATTATGGTATCGCTTTAGATCAAAGATTATTAATGAAGTTACATCACTACTATGAATTTACATTGTGTTATCTAATGTTTGGCGATACAGTTGTTCTGACGACTTAAATTAACGATCTCAGTAGGTACGGCTTGCTAAGTAAACAAAACTTCTACCTTTGCTTCACGACATTATTACAACGGATTCGTTAATCAACCCTTAGAAGCCAGGTTACACGACTTGGTTCTAAGGATTGGTGAAAGTCGGTCGAGTGACTATTCTGTCCATTAACAATACTTTGTGGCTTCTAGAAGTTAAAATCCAACTTCGCTCAATGCTTTCCGTACTAATACTTGGTAGTTGAGATTGTGGTGTGTTTAATCTATCGGGTTATAATGTAAGTTGAGACAATCTTTATATTGAATGCAGTTGAATTTTGTCAAAATCTCTGGACTATTTCAAGTAGTATTAAATCCTCATAGAAATAACGGTCGTTCTTTTTTGATGATTGTCCGTATTACAGTTGTCCACCTGAATTACAACAGGAGAATAGGTTTCATATGGAACATCAACAAATATTTTTTCCTAACCTAATGAAAATAATATTTTTGTAATATTTCTTATCAGCCAAGCCGGTCTCATGAGCTTTTTGGGGTGTGCTGGGGGTTCACTACTAGTCATTTTGCTTTAAGAGAGTTTTATCGACTGTCGCTTTTTACTACTGACTTGCACATTTTGACTGTTACTTAGTATTTTCAAAATTTTCCTGGTTTTCGAAATCCGGTTTTTGTTCTAAGTCACTGTTTACGTTGCTGATGTTCATCACTGTCACACAGTCTCTGATACTGAAAACAACGAGAGAATTGAAATCTAGTAGTCCGAAGTATCCACTAGCTCTCTAACGTTTTTAACGGTTGTCCCCGTTCGTATGTATCGTTAAAATGAATTTAACGATTGTTTATCTATACTGTTACTTAGTATATGATATAAATTGTATTCACAAACAATTCGGAATTCCAGTACAAGTTTCGAAATATTTCACGTTTTATAAGGTGTGAATCATTCATAGATGATAAATTTCCGTGTACCCAAATAGTATTTGACAATGTTATGTAGTCATTGATTGACGAATATTCACTGGTTATTGGTATTTTTATATAGTACAAAACACAGCAATTTCTCGTATACAGTCTGTCAATGCACTGCGGAAAAAAGTATGAGTGACTATGTTGTTAGATTAGCAGTAGATGAAAATGCTTAATGATATTTATGGAACACAACTGAAACAAGACTTCCGCCGAGTGTTTACATTTTACTATTTCGTTGTTATTTTATTTCAAACAAAATTTGTAGTTATTTCCTTTTAGTTTTAAATTTTAATATGTTGTTTACTTAATTTTATTGTTTGCGAACGGAAATCAGAAAATTTTGATATCAGGACAAGAACTTTATCATTGAGTTGAAATTTCAGTAGTTAACATTGTCGAACTTTAAGCAATCAACAGTGATCTATGATACTGCTCACAATTTTTGCAACCAGGACCTTGTTGACTTCAGTAACCACTGATCATCAAAATAATAATTAACCTGTAGATTTCAATTGATCATTGGAAGTAAGTTAGGTCATATATGAAGAAAAAGGATAGTTACCCACATAGTACAGCTGCGTATTAGGACTCTAACTTCAATCGATGAAGTTTGGAAAATAATAATCACATATGTATGATCTAGTGGATTAGCAGTAACATAAGTACTTTGGATTTCAAAAGATGTTAAATATGCCAATTAGCGACAACAAGTAGACGTACTTATGGACGTTTTAAGATAATAAGACATCTTGTATCGACTCTTGGTAGTTTCCGACTTTACGGTAAGTGATAGATAATAATTTAATGCGATTAACTGCAGTACATCCTGATAATCATAGTTGTATAACAATTTATACAAAATTGTAGTTTCCAGTGACAGCAATGAATTTTGTTCAGAAGTAGCTCTTGTTTCTAAACTTATTTGATAATGTTATGAGGATATCAGCTTGACGATTGTAATGTTTTCAGATAGCCTTCATATTAACCACTTAAACAGAAATATTCTCATTAAAAAATTATTTGAACCAAAATCTTACGGTTGCTAGGGAACAAATGAAAACAATTATAAGATTTCAACATCTATTTACTTGAAAATACTGAGATAACTCTTTTTTTCTCTAAAAATGTAGTTTGTTGAATGAAAAATGAACAAAACAAAAAATTATAAGCTTCTATACTAGTTTCTAAAAAACAGATTGCATCCTTCAAGACGTGTTGTTAACTGATTCAAAGGTATAGATTGTAATGGTGAATCATTTGGATTAATTTTAAACAACCATTCTAAACTTGATTCGATATCAATCGATAGTGTATACTGTTGCTGTTGTGTTGTGATGGGTTTCCCACTTTTTGGTCTTACATTCAATGTGACAGCAGTGGATGGAGCTATGCATTCGATCGCATGCTTTACTTGAACTGATGTTACGTTGTTGGATTGTACTCCATCTGATCTGCTTGTTTTTTTTCACCAGATTAAAATAAACATGAAATGATAAATAATCATTTATAGTAAATTTGAAGATGGTTAAAGTATTGTACATGAAAATTTCCCACTTTTCGTCATATGTGAATAATTTCGAAAGTCTTGGTCATTTTCAAATATTTATACTTCAAACTGATACAAGACATAAAGATAAAGAAGTCTCAACTGCTTAGTCTGAATCACGAACTATATAGCATTTCGAAAGACCTATCTTTACATAGATAAATACCAAATTTGCAGGTCTGACACTGCTTATCTTCACACTGCAAAATAAAAACCCAGTAAATATTGTTGACAGATTTCCCGATGGTCCATTCACACTAATATTGAACATAGCTGTGTGGCGCATATATATTTGGTGCGCCCTTGTACCAATATTTGTGTTCAAATAAATGAACATAGCTTACTAATTGTTTAAGTGTGAGAAATTGCCACTTTTACTCAGTCAGCTACAACGTTCGACCAGGCACGTATATGCATTTGTCCAAGTTGCCATACCTCATTAGCACAACAAGATGAACACCGAATTCATAGTAGTTAACTCAATGTGGTAATATATAAAAGAACGATTGCATGTAAGGATATAGTACGTAAATTCATGTTATTCTGAATAGTTTTGTCTCCCAGAACAGTTTAGGTAGCTTTTTATTTCGTTAGTTATTTTTGCGGGATTATATTTAAAGTTTTCCCAGATTCTTCAGCTCCACAGATCCCCATGTTTCTCATTCTTATGATTTGTCAATGTTTTAGTAACTTTCTACCAAATATAATGTAAATTTGCTGTTGTGTGGTGATTATAAGCTTATTTATTCTTCTGTAGCATTTAAAACAAATGTTCACACAATTTACGTACATACATTCATACATTTACTTTTCTTCACTTGACTCGTTAGTAACAGAATATTTTGAGTACCAGTTATTTATAGTCATGCATTACAGAAACATATCACTTTTTATCGTTTGGTATTCAACATAAAAATGGAGTCCTGCCTGTTCTAAATAATATGCATTTTATGATAAGGTTGTTGTTTCTGGTGAGATTTTCGGCGTTAATGCTTTCAGTAATCTATACATTCTTTGTAAACCGAAAATTTCTAATTTTCGTGTATGGATCTATGTTATTCTACGTGACATTCATTTGATTGGCTTTTCCAGTGATTTATTTTTCGACTCTGCTCTTCAGCTGATGTAATTTCGTGATGCAAATCAACTTCACACTGAATCGTTTCTACATGATCCCTATTAGGATAGAAATAATTAGTAGTAAATATAGTTTTTGCTATATCCCAATTTGTAGAAAAAATATATTTACTCTGATGAAGTGGCTTACATTAAGTCACGAAACGTCAGGAATACAATTGTTCTGCTCATTTGGATATAACAAAGATTATATTTATTGCTAACTTTCTATCCTATGCCCAATTTATTTGAAACTATCAAGTCCAATCTTGGCAATAATATCTACAAACTCATTGATAGAAATAATTGTTAGGGCATAACAATCTTGCAGTCATACTGTACTTGCTTTCAGGATAACGAAAAATATTTCAGTGGAACCATCAGTTCAAGCGTTACTCGATCAGACAAACAATATGAAGAAAACTATAGCTAAGAAAATCATTTGTCATGCTTGTTGGGATGATATAATCTCTTACTTTAACTTCTGAAGTTCGGTGACAATTCCATTGACAAATGTTGCTTTTAAGTGTTTATATATTGAAATTAATTCTTTTAAGAATGGATTGAAGTCTTCATCATGTACCTATTTAAAAAACAAAGGAAACAAAATCAAATATGAAGATATTATTGCAATAATAATGCATTTGTATGATATCCAAATGAGTAGAAAATAGTATTTATTATGTTTCGTGACTTAATTTGATTTATTTCTTCAAACTAAATAAATGACCAAAATAAATAAATAGTGCAAACGAACAAGCTTTCAACACTGGAGAAATATCTAGGGAGGTTTGTTTAACTTGGTAATTTCACTACAAGTACCATATTTTGTACCACACTACAGTATTTCAAAACACCAGTTTAATTGTTTCCTGATCTACATTATACAGAGGAAAAACCTGAGTTGAAATGTAATTCTTTTAAAGTAGTTGAAACTAAATACAATAGACCTCAGAGTTGTTCTATGTACCATGCTGTCCGTAATGAAATTTGACTATGTAGAATGTTCATTGATTGTACAGCGTTTAATATAATTTAGTTTCTGCTTCATAGTACTTACAGTTTTGTAACTCCATCAACTGGATTCATTGTTCACAATCGTCAAATAATTCCTTGAATTTAGTAATCGCTAATATCTATTAAATTATCTTTATACGCCACAAAACACATTTTACAGTTATCTAGTGATCTAGATGGCATAGTCTATGGATAATGACAACGAAAGGGATTGGATTGTTTTCAAGAGCATGACCGATTTGTATCAGTTGTATTCAAACGGGACATTCACATTAGTTTTGAAAATATTTCTCACCAATGATCATTGCACGAATTGTAATAAGATGACAAGTTCTCAGTATCCAGTAAATATAATAGTGATATCAGATAATATGAGCTGGGTGGTCAGACTATGAGGCTTTAGTTTTCGTTTTGGACAACACCATGAACGCTTACTCTAGCTGAGATAATGTAACACCATAGCATCCACGCGAGTCTACCTTATTCCATAAGTGGAAACTGCATTGAAGAACTCTTAATATCGCACTTTTGAGAAACTAGCAATAAAACCTATTGTTGATTTAAGCTGACTGAAATGCTTGTATGGTTTGAATTATATCACAAAAAACAGCATGAAGATATTATCAAGATAAGCTTAAAATTGTTGATACTCTTACATTGTAGGTTTAAATAAACAAGTAATTTTTAGTTCAATATGTACAGGCAAAGGTTTCACATGAAATGTAATTCTTGTCTGATCATTAAAACGTATTGAGCGTGATTAATAGCACTTTTTTAAAATACTTAGATCTAACACTTGGTCATCAAAACCGTAGGGTGTGGTAGAAGTATGCACTAGACCAAGTTGTCACTGCTTCCCATCAGAATGAATTGATGATAAGATGACGAAAAATAGTGAAGGATGAAACAAAAATATGAATTTTGGATGGAAAGTTAAGAACTTAAAGGGGTCCAGTAAATCCAAAAATAGATGGTATTAAACGATGCTAAGCAGTGGGTTTTGAAGTGCTTTTGAATAATGTTGCTTTAATCTCAGATTACGATTCATTCAGTCAGTAACAACGTAGAACTTCGTACGTACCTACATCAGTTCGAGTTGTCACACCACATTAGCACAGAGATGCAGTGGTCGACTCAAATCCCGTAGTGCTAGATGTAGTAAAATTATAAGCTGTAATCAGGAAAATTAGGGTTTGAAGATGTTATTCAAGGAGTATAATGCAGTGGAATAAGTTTGGAAAGAGAAAAAAGAAAGGGACATGAAGAATTCAGAAGATTAGAATTTGGGAGAACACAAAGAGTGTATGCACCTGCGCCATTGCAAACGACCTTGAGCCATGTCATTCAAGGTCTCTAACCATCGGTTGCTATCATCTCGCGGTCCCCAACCAGGTAGTCTACACCTACCAATATGACTCAGTCCACTTGTCATGGACTTGTGCCATGTTTTGGTTTGGCCGCCCCTAGCTTTCTTCCAATCTACTCCTATACAACAAAACATCACACATCGAGGTAGTCGGTGGTTGGGCATACATAACACATGTCCCAGCCATCTCAACTCATGAAGTTTCACTACTTCATCAATTGATTTGCCATCCTTACCTAGTACCCGTTTCCTAACAACTGTGTTACTTACTCGATGGTCCCAGGATATACGAGCAATATTTCGAAGTTACCTATGATCAAATACAAGTAACCTACGAATATCCTCTACTCTTACCGGCCCTGTTTCATTATCATAAAGCAGGACGGAACGAACTGCTGCGCAGTAAACGCGTCCTTTGGTTGATAGACGGATATCTCGCCTACGCCATAAATGAGGCAAGTTGGCGAAAGCTAGTCGAGCCTTCTGTATCCGTGCTGAGATTTCGTCACACACCAAACCACAAGGGCTGATCAGACTTCCAAGATAAGTGAAGCGGTCGACACACTCAATTACTTCACTCCCTATCACTATTTCGGGTGTCGATGTAACCCAATCCTGAAGCAACATTTTGCATTTCGAGGGAGAGAATCGCATCCCGAACATGCTTGCATTGTTGCTTAGAGTGGTCAGAAGACTGCATTTTGTCAGCGTCTTCGCCAAATAGAACTATGTCATCAGCATATTCTAAGTCAACAAGTGGACCTCCCGGCAGAAGTTCAACCCCTGGAAATCTAGACGAGGAAAGTGTTATGTCTAAAAGTACGTCGACGACAAAGTTGAACAAGAATGGAGAGAGTGGACAGCCCTGACGAACACCACTTGAGGTATTCGATTCTGTTGACAGTTCGCCATAAGCTCTCACTCGACCAGTTGTGTTCGAGTAGAGAGCCTTTACAAGGTTAATGTACTTCTTTGGTACTCTTTTCAGTGACAAACACTGCCATAGAACCTCACGATCAACAGAGTGGAATGCCGCCTTAAGGTCAAGAAATACTACCATTGTGGGGCGTCTGAATGTGTGTCAGTGTTCTAGAACTTGACGTAGTGTGAATATCTGACCTATACAACCACGTCCAGGTCGAAAACCAGCTTGATTTTTTCTAGTCTGTTCTTCACGAGCTTTGGTTAGGCGTCGATTATGTCTCTGATTTCAACTACGATCCTTACGTTACACAACATGGTTCACACCGAATATTAGAATATTGCTACGCCTTGGCCTGATCGACTATAGATTTTTCCAAATCTACTACTGTACTAGCGGTTATGGTAAACGGGTGTCCACACTGATTGGGCGATTGTAACACTTTCTATTCAACACAGTCAATGAAGGTTCATAGCTTTATCAACCGATTCTCTAGCTATACTACTCACCCTACATCTAACCTAAGGAATTCATTATTATAAGGAACTAGTATTTTTCGATGTGATGAAACAAAATACAAATCGTGTTTACTGCAGTGATGGGGAAAAAAACCATAATATAATTAACGGGTCATCAAAAAGAATATGTAATGAAACGCCTAAAAGCATAAGGTGTAAATATTAACATTTATTATTATTCATCTCTTAGTATAAAAGTAGTTTATGAATTGAGAGTCTAGTAGATTATATTCTGTAGCAAGTACTTCATTATGAATAAAGGCATCCTTTCACTCAATTATCAACACATGTTAAGTCTACAAAGTTCCACGTAACTCCTTATATAATACTATTAATTAGGATTATTTACAATAAAACTTGTTTATAATCTCTAACCCCTCAATTAAACACTAAATGGTTCAGAATAACAGTTATTCTAAACAAAACAACCTACATTATCGAATAATTTGTTAAAATCAAGCATATTCTGTAAATTAGTTTGTATATTGTCATTATCTTTGCTTTCGCCTTCATCCATATTTGTTAACGATTTTGGAGATGAGTCTTTTATTTGTAAACTTGCATACTCTTCAGCTGATTCAATTATGATATTTAAGTTGTTTAAATCTTGCTGACTGAATATATTTAATAGCGCTTCATGTAAAGTTTGTTTTAAGATTACTTTTTGTTTTTCTTCAGAGTTTTCAGTAGTCGGCATTATGACTATTAATGATAATAACAAAGAAAAAACAAATTATTAAATCGAGTTGATTATACCACCCAGTCCAATAAACTCGCTAGTTGAGGTCATAAAAGTTTTATTAAAAAAATTTAGGGTCCCTTCAGAATAATTCCAATATACTCGTTCCACTAGTGTCCCTTGGGATTTAGCAAAAATTAGGCTGTTCAGATGCTTTGTTGTTTCATGTTTTGCTAGAATCGCATAGATAGACGATTCTCCAAAACTCAGTCAATCAATCATTATCTAGATGCTGCGTAGTTAATCATGAATCATAAGATGTTTTCATCAGTACAGGAGGTGACTAGTCGTTCTAGACTTGCGTCAACCGAACAGTCTTTATTACTTCCAATGACGAGCTTACTGTGAAAAGATCGATTTTTTTCGGTGGGCTGTCTTCATAAACAAGTGTCGATACTTCGCGAATTCTCTGAGTTCTTCGTTTATTTCATGTATTTTGTGTATTTATTGAATAGACCAATTATTTTCTCTTTGTTGGCGTCTGACTTTTCATTTATCACTTACCTGAACTATTATTACTGCTATCAATAAATATTAGTATTTGTTCTTTAATAAATAGTATCCATGATTCCAAGTGCCAATGACATTCTTCATCCATCTAAAGATGAAAAACAGTATTATGAAAACTAACTTGTTGGTTTATCTAGGTCTTTTTATCGTAATTCTGTAAATTATGTAAAATGATATCTTTGAAAGATTTAGACGATAGAGCATGAAGTCAGTCACAATGAGGAGTAGATTCTTAGGATTTATCCACATGTATATTTCGAAAATTCTTCAATCTTATGCTGTGGTTGTATTTCCATCATTTGTTTTGTATTCTTCGTGTCATATTTTTAGTATCTGATCAATTTTAATGTCATCCTTTTGACTGTTTCTTCACTTCACTCTATGTTGATGTTGTTTCTCTGTTATAATGAAAAGTTTGGGTATTTAAACCGACATTAAACTAGTTTCAGATCCATTTATCTCTTTCCGTTTGTTTGTTAGTCATTTGTAAGAAATGAAGAGAATAACAAGAGAGAACAAACTGAAAATATACAAGGTCGTCTGGATGTTAGTATAAATTTTAAAAACTATTTGATCTGAATCTTGAACAGAGTAAATATAAATGGATCAGTTGTTTCTCAACAGGAATCTAGGAAATAAAATAGTCAAATCAAGTGATCATTTCAATTAACCCCCAAGATAATTCAGTATATATGAATTATTTGATAACGAATTTTGACCATGATTTCAGATGGATCGACCATCAATCTATACTCTTACTTATTGTATTTATTTAATCTATTTAATTGTTATCATTGTCCTAAATACTACCGTATTAGGTTTAATGTTTTTAAATATATTCACATCAATATTATTGTATATTCGAGTAAAGCCTGATAAAGATTTAATCGAAAACAATATCACCCGCTTATATATTCCGAGAAATACTGATTGTTCTAGATGCGAAAACGAAGAAAAATAAACTTAGTAAAGAGTTCTTTTTCCGGGTGAATTCATACTCGAAACTTTACAATCACAAATATCTACCTTCTAAAAAATTATAATATCAAACTTGACTGTCGAATGGATCATTTAAGTTTTTATTGATTTCAATCCTTCACATGTTTAGAAATATAATTTCCTTTTTAGCATCGTTCATAAATTCAGTGACCAACTGCTATAAAACTATTCTACCAGTGTTAGCCAAAAGTTTTTGTTAAATAACATGTTTGTTAGCAATAATCATGTTAACAATAATAATCGTATCAGTGAAGTAAAATATTCAGAAATGCCCTTTTTATTACGAAACTGAAAATGTATTTGTTAAGATCTTGAATATTCATCAGGAAAACAGATAAATATTGATGATTCTCAAGGACGGCTGGACAACATGATTAAGTAAACTGTTGAAGTTGAAATAACATTTCATCAGAAAGAGCATGGAAACGAAAATAACTCAACTGGGTCACAAGGTCAATAGAGAGAGATAGGAGAAGGTAAAACTGAAGATTAAGGACAGGGTGGAAGTGGTTGAATAAGCTTCCTTTTATACTTAATTTTGACTTTTCTAGGTACCTTATGAAGGCTTCTGAATTGCTAAGGAGACAGTAACTCGGTGTTATTGAAAAACTTTTTGTTTGCATTGTAGGAGACTTTAAACATCAGATATATTTTAACTGAATGAGTTATGCTCACAAAGTGCTTGATTATGGAGCTTTTTATGAATTTTCTCTTAACTCTTCTGAACCACGCTGGTTAATATACTCGAAATATCTTATCACGTTATTCAGTCGTTGTAGAGAATATCAATCTTTATCTGTTTTCTTGGTAAATATTCAAGATCCTAACAAATACATTTTCAGTTTTCATAATAAAAATGACATTTTTGAGTATTTTACTTCTCTGATACTATTTTCATTAAATTATTTTTAACATGAATATTGCTAACAAACATATTACTTAGTATTTTGGAAAAAACCGTATATAAGTAAATATTTTAATAATAACTTTGCTGAAACACAAACCCTTCACTGAACCATACATTCTTGGAATTTATACCCTAACCCTTATATAAACCATGAAATATTCCTTTAGAATTTCTTAATCAAACTATTGATACATAATTCCAGATATTGATTAAAATGTTTTCAGTAGTTGGCTAGTACTGTGATATCTGAGTTTAAAAATATTTCAGCAAACAGGTTATTAAAATGTGTCTCTCAAGTGTATGGTCTAAAATAATTTAAAGTTTTTAGTCTTTTACAAGTTTTACTAGTCTTGACTGAATTTATGTATATTAAATAAAGTATAACTATCAGTTGCTAAATCTGACTGGGTTTTTTTATAATGAAATAGTTTCTTACGACAGAATTATGTAATAATATTTAGATGTATAACATTAACTTGATAAAGAGATGTTTTTTGAAAAAACGGGATTTATAGGTGAGCACGCTTTCCCCTTAATTCTTCAAAAATGAGATTTTGTGACAGGTTGAATGTTAGAGAGGTCAGAACTTTCTTGAGTATTTTACGGATTGCTATTTATATTTCTATTGTATATTCATTAAATGATTGAATTACTATTTTTCCATTCTCCTTTTATTGTAAACACCTATTGTTGCACCTATTATCTGTGGTTATACTCGTTATTGTTTGATGATTATTGTTAACTAATTATGTATTGTTTGCTCCGTTCATTGCCACGTATGGTTTGATTGTGCGCAAAGGATGATTTTTTATTTGAATTTCGTTGAGGTCTGAAAATTCATATATATAAACTGATGAATATTCGAGCTAAAAACACTGGGTATTTGATATATAGTTAAGGAAGCTTGTGGAACGGTAGAAGTTATGATAACCTCGATCTCAACTGAAGGTTAATTGTGTCAATTCAAATGTTTCGTCTACCAAAGTCAATGCTTCCATGATATAAACGAAATACCATTCACGTGGTTTATAAATGTAATAAGATTCTTGTTAGTAAATGTTCTCTATGCATACTGATCGCTCTGTAATTATAATACATTCAATATGAATTATGAAAACGACACAAAGAAAAAAACCCATCTGATTAGATGATCTTTAACGTCTATGAAAATTATTGTTAAATTGAAAAAAAATAATAAAAGAAATGAAATTCAATGATACAATTATTTCTACTATTGATCATTTTATCTTACCTTATTTTCAATAATCATTCTTAATTCATTAAGTTTATAATTATTATTTTCTTTGATTAACATTTCATAAAAACCATATACCCATTCAATACGTATTTGTTCAATACCATAAATTTGTTTAAAGAAATTACATAGAAATTCATCAAATGCTTTTGATACATTTTGAACAATTGTCGGTAATTTTGATTGAATTTTCATCTATATTTTATTGCAAAAATGAAATATAATAGTAAATGAAAAAAAACTTTGTTTTTTCTTTTTCCTTTTCAATCATTTAGTCAATCATAATAAGTGTGGAAATTAACAAGATGAAAATGGATTATTATTGTTCATTAATTACATAAGGGAATAAACCAAGAATTTAAATAATGATATAAAGGAATGTGACGTAATAGTGTTAATTTATAGATTTATAAAATAATGTTTTAGTTACTCAAAGGTAGTCATATTTTTAAACGAAGATAATTTACCATGAGTTAAAAGTTAAAAACAGTTTTACTTAAACATCAATACTGGGATTTAGTTATACTCAGATAACAATTCTCAATTGGGGAAAAAACATATTTTCTGCTTTCTAGTGTTAGCCATGATCTAACTAGACTAAAATTCACTGAACAATTTATTGTTTAGTATGAAACTTTACTGTAATAAACATCTTTAAAGTCTATTTTTCTATAATTATGTAAAACGTTTAAGTTTCTTGACTAACAATTCATAACCAAATTAAATATTTACAACTATATTATTTAATCATTTCGTGTTGTTTTAATTATGTCTTTCCATGGTTATTAAGAACTGCAATTGATCAGTATCATTGAGGCAATTCGCACAGGATGCACATATGCCAACATGAGACTGATCAATTGCAGTCCTAAATAACAATAGGAAAATACAAGTAAACAATACCAAATGAATTTAAACTTCACTACATTGCATAAGCAGGTGGCTATCAGGACTCAGTAGCTAAATGGGTAACGTAATGGCGTTCGAAGCGTACGGTACTGGGTGGACATCAACTGTGGGATGCAGGTACATTCAGCTGACGAGTCCCAAATAGGACTAAACGTGCGTCCTGAATTCTACTGCTAGCCACTATTCATCCTTGCTTACATTATTTATGCTTCTTACTAATAAATGTAACTCACTGTAAGGCAGAGACTGCCCTAAATCCTTATCACTAATCATTCAATTAATCTTATCTATTATAAAGGCCATAATCTTAATAGTCACAACTATTGTTTGAGTGCATTTATTTATGAATTACTTAGATTAGCTAATTTAAAATATAACATAACTAATGATTGTGAAAATAATCACTATCTAAACGGAATGATTTAAACAAAATTTAGATCATTTCATGATTTAAACTAAATAAGATTTGGTCACATCATATAATATATAGGTCAGCCATGTGGTCAACTAATGTATATGAAAATAATAAAATGATAAAAAAAAACAATCAAAACAAAGAGAAGAAAGAAGAAAAGTTAACTTCATAATAAAATATTTCATCAGATTATGTAATGGAGTGTTATATAAAAAGTTTTGAATAATTTAGAATATAATAATTTTCCATATTTCCCATCATCAGTATGTTAGAGATAAATCTCTAGAAATATTCTCTTTTTTTTGCAAGATTTGATTGAAAACATTGTCAACTATATCTATGGTTGTATATTATTGATTCGAACATTACAATAAAACTATTACATTAAATAGAATAGGCTAGAATTGTTAGATTAAGCAATAAATATTTATTAATATAATCATAAAAATGTGAAGATGAACAGCCAATACTGAATAAATCGATTATTCATTTAGTCAGAATTCATCACAACATATGTTTATTATAGGCTTCAAGTTGTATGAATAAAAGTCTCTAAAATATGTGAATGAATTAACTGATCGTTTATTATTACCGAACTTCATTTTTATCTGATCTATAGTGCCAATGAAATCCTATCGACAAAGTTGTAATGTAATCAATTGTATAGATGATTTGATATTGGAATGATTAAACAGGAGATAAATGTTTTTCTACCTTGTATTGTGATTCATCTCACCACGGGGTTTCAATAATCGTTTTTGGATAGTTTATTTACTTATTCAACTAATCGGTCTATATCATGCAACCCTTTTTTCCGTCGTAATTTTAATTTAGTTAAAAGTGGAAGTAAAGGGTTGTATGTTGACTAGTCCATCGATCAGAAGTTCAATGTTTATTCAGCTTTGTATGGTATAATACACCAGGAAGTGTAATAATCATTGTTGTTGGTTTGCATTCTTCATTACCATAACACCTTAGTCGATCACGTCAGTAAATGTGTTTTATTATTATGTTAGGTAGCATTAAAAAAAATTGAGACTAGTGATAATACCATAAAATGCTAAGATGTACAACATTAGTTCTGACTATTAATATTAATGTATCTAAAATAAAATTTTAATGACAGTCACCTCTGATGTACTCAAAAATCTAGTTTCTAAGTGATCATCAAACACCTTAGACGTAAAATTTGTATATATAGCTACCTTTATATACAACGTAAGCTGAAGATTGAGTAATATTAAATAATTACAAATGGAGTTTAAAGAAATCATGATTGGAAAATGAAAAAATCAATGATTATCAATAGTTGAAATCATGAGTCAATTGAAGCTAGACCACCATGGAAAACCTGGAAGCATTGGACGACCGTTCCGTCTTAGTATGGAATTCCTCAGCGGTGCGCATTCACGATCCTGCCCCCCCGCGAGATTCGACCCGAAGACCTTCAGTTTCGTGAGCGAGCGCTTAACATGTAGACCACTGAGCTGGCATCGAACGGTGTTAATGTCTAACTTCAACCAATCCACGATATTGCGCCGCCATCCACCATTGTCTTCAGTGAGTTACTACCTTACCATAAACCTGGTTAAACTCCATTGGTCATAGGATCGTGGATGCGCACTCCTGAGGAGTTCCATACTAGAATGAAACGGACGTTCAGTGCTTCCAGGTTTTCCATGGTGGTCTAGCTTCAATCAACTCATGATTTCAATTATTGAAATTTCTAAAATCTCCACAAAACCATTAATGATTATCAATAGATTTATATTTCATTTCACTTTAGAATATATGCAATCTTTCAGATTTAAGTATCGTTCTCTAGATATTATAAACAACTTCCAACGTTTCCCATATTCATTTGGATTGAATTTTATTTTTTTGTTTTGAAAATGATATGAAACAGTAAAATAAGGTTATTTACAAGTAAACTAATTGTATTATTATTTTATTATATATTAAATGATAATTAAAACTAAATTAGGGTATCAAATTATATTTCAATAATTTATGTTGATTAACTAAATAATAATGTGAAATTAAATAAATGTTTTAAATTTTTATGTTCAACATGTGATGATATGACAAAATATAAAGTACACATTTTTCAGATTTTTTTCCATTAAAAAATGATCACAATTATTATTACTATTATTCTACTATTATTATTACTATTATTGTTAACATTATTATTATTATTGTTCAATGACACAATGAGTTATTTTAATTAACTAAATGATCAATAAATTAAATAGATCGAGAATTTGTTTAATTTATAAAGTTTGATTTTTTAATGAGAACAAAGTTGTTAAATATATTAATTTAATCAAGTAATCATTTAGAAATATTATTCTTATTGTCTATTTATGGTCTGATTATCTCAAGTACATTCAAATGTACTTTGATATATAATGAAATAATAATTCTATGTCATTTCTTTTTGTTGTTGATATTTTAAATATTTATTAATAATAAATATGTATTTTTGTTATAACTTAAATGAGTAGAAAAATTGTATTCCTTTCGTTTTGTGACTTAATTTAAGCCATTTTTTTCAGAAAGACGCTTTACTCAATGTTCAATTCATTTGAAATCATTAAAACATTTATGAAGTCTGAATATGAGTATAATTTAATGTGTTTGACTAGTTAACAAAATGGGATAATAGTATGTTAACAGGAGGAATTAATAAAAATGGAAAAAAACGATATTTAAGATTTAACATCAAATTAAAAAAAAACTAGTGACATGTACGACGTAAAAGGCGTAGCAAAAATTACACTTGTAAACTACTCTAAATGGTTAAAATTATAACAAAATGTTTTTTTGTTATCGCAGAGTAAAAATTGTAGTGTTAAACGTATCAAATTGTTACGTTTCTGAATTTAGATTGTTTCTTGTATGTAGATCAATTCAAACCAGGAATAATTTATTGGACCCCTAAAAACCTATTTACTTCCTTGTTAGAATTCGAAAAGATATGTTTTATAAACATTTAGATAAAATCATAAATTATCTCTTTTAAATATACAGACAAAAAACCTGGAAAAGATTTAAAAAATTTACGAATTAAGTAAATGCTGTGTACCTTTTGTAATATTAGTTTTTCTATGAACTTTTCATTTACGGTAACTATTTTCTAATTGACTAATGACGGACTAAATTTCTTAGCGGTTATTTTTGAAACTGTTTAAACTGGTTTCTATACTATAATTTTGCCGAAAAACTTAACTCAAATAATTAATTGCTAGAAATAAGAACAGTTTCAATCTGATGTCAAGCGAAACTATTGATGATAGTCTTTAGTTATTGGATTCTAGAAAACAAATAAAAAAGATGAATGGACTTATTTATAAAATCTTGAAGATGTAAACGACTGGTTCTGTAGTATTAACCTTTTCTTAAGTCAAAGTATAATATTTGATTTCGATAGAATTAGAAAAAAATCGAGATATAACCGAGAAATAGTTGTTCGAATCAAATTTCATAATGTTCTACAGATATAATTCTGATCTAACGATCAAAATGGATATTCATGTTTAAGGTGAATCAAATTTCAAAAGAGTTTGTGGCAGTAAATTTAGGATTATCATTAAAACAAATTTCCAGAATTTATTTAATGCATTAGATCACATGAAATAATCGAGAAGGAATAGAATTATAGTGAGTACTTCACAAACTATTCAAATACAAAAAAAATTAAATCAGTTTAAGTTATGAAAATTGAGTGGAAGAAGTTGTGGTATACAAGGAGTACTGATTAATTTTCCTAATAGAAATGACTATGGGGCAATAAATATCACTGCTGACCTGCGTAAGAAAACGGGTTGAAAAGGATCGTTGAGATAGTAGATATTTTTTAATAATTATGTCGTTGGAAAAACAGTGACTCTGGAAACATTCAACAGATTTCTCTACAAGTGTTAAATAAATGATAAGGACTAGTTAATTCTGACTTTATGATCCGTATGGGTTAAGTGGATTAGGACAGATCGCGACTGCTACTTTGCTTAGACACTCTGAAAGGCGCTCGATAAGGCTATCATTGGAACGCTCATTACTACATTTCTAGCTGATTTCTAAAACCTCAGACTATTTGTACATGTTTACTTGAGCAATGGAGAAAAGGCCCAAAATATGAGAAAAACCTTTACTTCAGGGTTAGTTCATGTGTTGAAAACTGAGGACATTTTCAGAGTCTAGAACTTTCTGCAGACGTAGTGAATATGATAATAGTGTTGTGTGCTACTGATGTCGATGGGTATTAGTAGTATGCATCATCATTCGAAAGTGAAATGCCAGGTGGCGGAAGGTTAAGAAGATAGAAGAAAGGAGGACGAGAATAGGGAATGAATGCTATGGGAACGAAGGAACAATAAAGTCTGGGACAATTGATTGACATTTTGCGAACGAAGTATTTACTATATGGTTCTCAGATTTTACTAAGATGTTCTGTAATTTTGTATTCAAATACATCTGATTGTCCCAACTTGTGGTTTCGTTCACTACAGTGTGAGTGATTATCAAACCAAAAATGTGACTCATGATCTCCCAATTTCCAGGTGTTTCAAAAAGACTTTTGTTCAGTGATGACTGAATAAAACAAGTGATGTAGCCTTCTGGGCTTCTAGAGGCTTGGACGAAGGACTCTTCTATAGGGCTCTCGTGAATGGAAAATTAGATTCCTAGAAAACTGGGAAAAGTAGTTTACCGCATAAAATTGACCGAATTGGTAGATAGTGGGTTTACACAGATTACTTCGAAGAAGATTTTAAGCAGAAAAACTGCCGCTGATTTTTTGGACACGTCTACTGATATCGCTGGGACTTGAATATAGATTATTTAAGTTAACCAGCTCATTTATAAATGTCTCATTTTTTTGCTCTCATTTCCCGTAATGCTAATGCAGAAATGGTATAACAACTGACTTATAAGTATCTTTCCATTACCCAAATAATGTACTGTTTCAACATCCCATAGTTTATTCTCACTATGGATGTGCATCATACAATTATTTTTTTTATTGACCAAAGCTATGAACAACTGATTTCGAGAAATTAATCAAAATAAACACTTTTTAATCAATATGCTTAAACGTGAACTAATCTGAAAGACAAATGTAATGATCAAATCTATAAACATGAAGTGTATTATGACAATTCTTTTAACAGGCGAATGCCGTCTAATCAATTGTTATTGCTAATTTAAAATATCTGTAGCTGACAATGTGTAGCAGTGCATCAGGGGAAAGTGCATAGTGCTTTAGTGCCTTAGTGCATATAACAAAGTGATTTATCAATTATAGATCTATCCCTTTGTTAGCTTTATTTTTACCTGCGAAAGTCGTCTCGATGCAAGTGATCGTCTTCGTTCTACAGAATGTTCCTTAAGATTAAAAATCAATATATGTAGAGATAGGATTTACTTAAAAATCAAAAGGGGCAATAATAAATTAATTTCTCTTATTGACCCACAAAAAAGCATCAGAAATAGAACATACAAATTATTGCAATTAAGTTCACTGACAAATGCTTAGTCGTATTCAATGTTAATGTATTTTGTTCGGTTTTATGTACTGGCAAAATTTTTTCAATCAGTTTGGGATTTGGTTACTAAGTTTAGTGGCTCTGATGTCTCGTCAAACTTTGTTCAATATAATGTGTAGTTGAAAGTGTTATTTTTAAACATTTTCATTATTTATCAAAAGATTAAGTCGGTGTCGAAAGGACAGATTTCCGCAAAGTTTATAATATTGATAAAGTTCACTCTACTTAAGATTCTCCAATCTTATGTACTTCCTTCATGCATCAGGAGTTATTGATGTTCCTCAAAATGGTTATAAAAAATTAAGACTATGTAATATCATTAAGACCTTCCCTATGAGTTATGAAAGCTAATTTTCTCGAAATAAGTGTAAACAAAGCACTATTCTTAACGCAACTAAAGTAGATAACTTTGTATATCATTAAACCTTTTGAGGGTTGACGCGAATCAATATTATAATATGTACAGACTATGAGAATAATAATTATTGTTATAAGTTTTTGTATCTCCTTGTTATCTTGACATCAAAAAACCATTTAAATGACACCAATCCCCATAAATTACCTTGGCTTTTAACACTGTTTATTTATAATTATTGTTATATCAACTTATTTTAATGTCTTTTCTGAAGAAACAAAAAGCTCTCTTGAAAAGTTAGATTTTTCAACCTTTTATAAATGCTTGGGTGTCATCGTTGGAGTTCCGCGACCACTTTCTATTTGCTGTCATGTTTCAACAATCTCCAGTTGTTCGTATTTTGAACTGTGAATTAGAAACTCTAACAAAATCCTACTGTAAATAAATATTGATTTATTATATTCAACAGCTGACCTTCCATAATTAACATGGTGTCAAACATAACAAGGCATTCATCATTCGAAAGAGTATTCACTAACTGAAAACTAAGCTGATTTATACATTTTCTATTGTACTTTACAAAATGCGTTGATATTTTGATATACCCATATCTGTATGTATTGATTTATTCATTAAACAAGTAATACTGTGATTTGGTTTATAAAACTGTAACAGATTATTAAATAATAAAAATACCAATAGGCCGTACACTATGCATAAACACTCAGTTAACATTATCAATATTTTATCCATACAGAAATCAACAAACTGGTGATATAGATTTACAATAAAAATGGTTTAAGCGAAACAGGAAGTATTACCATAGATTAGTTAATAGCGTAACCAACTAAGCCGACAGAGAGATGCTGAGATTATGACGTATTGGACTATGGAATTTGATGTTTGTTAACAGTGTTTTAACAAAGAAGCTAATGTTTTATTATTTCACATTTTCACATCTATCTGAAGTGGTTATGTTTTCATTAGTGGTTGGTAGACTTTCATATATAATTATACGATAGAAGAGTAAAATCCCTAATCAATTCTTAATTTAAATTTGGATTACATTAAATTCCTATTGTCCAGTCCGAACATAAGTAGGTGTCATTTTTTTTCTCTGAAAATGCGATTTACACTAAGTCGCGAAATGTAAGGACTTTAATTTTGTGCTCATTGGGATATGATAAATATCGAATAATTTTAATTCCTATTAGGATTATTTTTATTTATTCTTACAAATAAATGAAAATTTACAACTACTAAGGTTATTTAACATGATTTATAAATTTTCATATATTTTGTATAAGTTTTTATTTGAGTAAAATCGAATCTTATCCATATAACTGTATAATATTGAATTTCTAAAGGCTATATATGGTCATCAATAGTCACTTGATGATCCATTACGAATGGTGCTTAATTCTTTATTCATTTTCTTAGTATTTTGCTTTTTATAATTTTCCTATTAACAATTCACGTCCATCTAATACATAAAATATTTACCTTCTTGTAAAGAAACAAAAAAACTGGCTGAAATCGAGAATAGAAATAGGAATAAAAGTAGTACGAATTAACAACCAGGAATTAATTAACTGACTCAGTTTTGATCTTCATATTTTTAAAAGCCAATAGTACTATTTGATTTCTATAAACATTATAAGATGGATGGGTTTAAAATCAATAACGCACTGGTTAGAACTCAAATGTTTTGATCACTGACTCATGATTGTTAAAATAAATCATTTACTTACCTTCAATGAATCTTTTTCATTCTTCCTAGCTTTCCAAACTTCATGTGTCAATAATAAACAATCTCGAAGTTGTATTGATCTGGATATTATAACATCAGCTCCAGTCGTTTGTAAAAATGATGGAACAAAATTCAGTTCTTCCTAATAATAAGTAAAGAAATGTCAAAAAGGCACACACATATGCACAATTACAAAGGACATTTATACTAGCACTTACAATTTAAACGAATAAAATTTATTAGAAATATTGAGGAAACAAAAGCGTTCCCCAAATTATTCCTAGATAATAAGCTTCCATCGAAACAGAATGACAAACTTTGATCGATAACAAAAAGAGAACTAAATCCGGGTTGGGCTATCTAATCAGTTAAACATTTAACACAAAAAAGCTTTCATTAACCCTGACAGGGCCTTAAATTATGAACGTGATGATCAGAAATCAGTTATGTTGTGTTTATAGCATCTGTAAGTACGAAGAACTCAAACGATTATCAGCACATATAGTCGCACAGATTTGATTTGAAGATTTTAAGCAAACTAATTCTTGTGATGTCGATAGAACATGGAAAATTATGAGAAGTAAACTATCTTTAAAAAATTACGAATTTATGAAAATATGTTCTTTTCTATACATGGATTAGATACAATGGAAATAGATAATTACTTATGAAGTAAACTGACAGGAGTGAGAAGCTAATTAATCAATTATAACGTAAATTGACCGATTTTGAAACGTAGATTGCAGATCATTCTGCAAATGAAATAAATATTCTACGTTTGCAGGTCCGGATGTTGACCATCTATGGAGTTTTAAGTGAGCAAGACTAAAATGTCCCATACGAGTAAAAAAACTTTTCATTGCCTTCTAATATACAATGTGTACCTATCGAATGTTCATTCATAATGTAAACATTACTTTTAAATCTACGAAGATTTGATTTATATTCATTCTATATTTTAATTGTTTCTATAATACATTATTAGGTTATACTTATGGTATTCTTTAATTTACCAGTTAGTGTAAACTATTACTAGTCAATAAAATCACGACCAAATTACTTTCATTTTAATCAATGCAATCATAGTGACATAAATGAAACCATCTAAAAAAGGATTATTAAGTGATTATATACATATTAAGGTCAACAAAAACAAAATCTTTAAAAACCGTGCTCCAAAATCACACAGAAAAACGAACAATTGCCAATGGATAAATGATGGTAGTAAAATTGGCCTAGATATACTATTATCACTGAACAATTGTTTCCGACCTAACTGGTACCATATTAAAATAAACTGAACAATGGTTAATCAAGTGAGATAAATGAAAACTGACATTTAACATGAAACGTAAAGTTTGGCCCTAATCATTTACTTTAGATAAAAGAAAACAAGAGATCAACGTGTATCGTATAACAAAATAAATCCACCTTTTTTATTCATATTTAGAGCTAAGCTAATAACGAGCTATTAGGATTTTTAATTTTATCAAAGAAAAAAACGTTAAATGGAAGTCCTCTAATTCAATTTGCTGGTGCATGAATTAAATAAATTTATAAATTTCAATTGAATCCAAGATAATTAAAACATTTATGAATCAGTTAAGGCATTTACATTTTTGCATGCTGACGTGCTATGCTATGTACATGGATTACACATTTATGATGTAAAGCGATGAAAGTCGAATCTCAGAAAACGTTTTTTATTTTAATTTTAAATACAAAATCATAAAAAAGATTAACTGAGAATAGGGAAGTTAGGACTGGATACTGAAAAGGCTATTTAGAAAAGAGTGTAGTCTTTGAAAAATCTCTCTTAAGTTTTGAGATTTTTGAATTTCACCAAAAAAATCGAATAAAAATGTTATGAAAGATGTGACCATTACAGCGAGAATTCAATTAATAATTATTTGAAAATGACTTTTAAATGAAACTAAAATAAAAGCTTTTAATTTATTTGTTATGATCAATAAGACGAATTTCTGCTGATTATAACAGTTTGTAATGTATCCTATATTCATATATACGTATACAAATTTACTCAAGTTTCCAAGATAAATACAGAACGTTGGGTTTACATTAATGTTTTGAACATTTCTTGAATAGTTTGAAACAAAGTGTGTATAAATCTTTTTTAAGTCTAATTACTTAGCAACTGGTTGACTAGTGAAAGGTTTTGAATATTTTTATCTACTATCATAGTAACATGTCAGTCAACACTTCGACTTTTTTTATTGTTAGATAACTGGAAGGTACTGTCGCAGAATTATGTTCAACCTAAGTCAGCTTTTAAAATTCAAGAACAATTATTTACCAATCAAGAGTCGTAAAGACGACCGAAATAAACAGCTAACAATTATACTTTTATAGAAATAAGTAAAGTTAAAATATTTTAGATTTGTAACCATGCAAAGTGTAGTTGACCTTAATAGAAATATAACATTTTCAAAGCTGCTAGTGATAACTTGAATAAAAATAACTATGTTTTTGTTGTGGTTTAGTTTCCTTAATAATTGTACTTACAAACCTGTAAGAATAAATATGTGTACGAAAACTAAATATAATCTGACCTCATCCAGAAGACTTTTATGTATTCTAGTGATAGAGTTAGATAAAAGTATTTACGATGAATATTAAAAAGATAACAAATAAGACCTAGCAAGAATATATATTTATTAAAGTTCCATGTTTAAAATCAGTACATTGTTCAAAGAGGCTGACAGAATAAAATATTGTAAAGTGACGAAAATAATAACCATTGCAGTGGAACGTTAAACATATGAAACTCTAGTTTCATTCATGTGATTCATTATATTGTCTTGAATCATTTCCTTTATCTTCAATGTTAACTATTCTTTTAAGATCAATGTTCAAAAAGGATTTGTTATAAATTAGAATTTTAATGTGCGTATGCGTTAAGTGAACAGGTTTGTTTACGAAATTCAAATAGTCTCTTTCATGAGCCTAGAGAGATATTACAAAACAATCTCAAATTGAAATGTCTTTTCTTTTCTAAAAACATAGCGTCTGCACTGAAAAAAGTTGTTATCCATAACGTTAACTTAATACGCTCAACAACAAACATATTTAAGACTATTTTGCTTACTTGATTCATTTTTGTATTGGTTGCTTAAATCTTCCCAATAATGTTTAGGACTGCGATTGATCAATATCTTATTGGCATATGTGCATTCTTAGTTGATTGCCTCGATATTGCCTTAAATTTCAAGCATTTTAAGCAGGGATGATGGTGGTTATCAGTGAAATCCAGGACCCGCGTTTTGTCCTACTTAGGACTCGTCAAATGGATGTCCCGCGGTGAACACCAACTCTGGGATACAAGTACATCCAACTGACCGGTCCCAAATAGGATGAAACGCGCGTCCTAGATCTCACAACCAGCCAACGTTTTCTCTGCTTTCATTGCTTACTAAATTTCAATAATTAAATATGGTACAAACCGTCTATAATTTAATCGCTTGTTTAGTATAATAATGTGGAACACCAAGGAAGACAAATGGAAACTCTTTTAAATTTGATTAGATCACTCCAATTTATAGAGTTTCATCTCCATATGTATACGAACTGAAAGAGAAGTTAACTGACGATTAAATCACTTTTGTTTTGATTATCTTAAAGATAAGTTTATCGGCTTATTTAAAACGAAATTTATGGCGTCATTTAGATTTTGCCAGAATTATTTTAGATACAGTAATGTGCAACTGAGTTTGATAATAAAGTTAAGAGAGTAAGAATAAGAGTAAATCAGTTTTTATTACCTTTATGTATGCATTTAAATTGAATTTGATGTTTTCAGAATTTCGTGCTGTCACCTGATTGACAAGGAAATGCATTTTCTCTTGAGATGACATTGACGCAGTTTCTTCCAACCATCGAGTTAAACCTCCAGGTAATTTGCGTCCAACTTCATTCCATTCCGGTCTTGAATATACAAAAAATGTATAAAGCATAGGATCGTTTATTAGATAGGCGACGAATTTTTGAAAAAATTATGATGAACATACTAAATAACGAATAGGTTATGTGCCTAACACTATAGTGGATTTGTAGATTCATTCTAGAACTAATAACACTTGTAAAGACTACGTCAAAAATGATTTATCAATACAGTGGAACCAATTTAATTCTTAGGGTTGCAAATTATTTCTGTCAGGATCCTAGTGAGTTCAAGAATCGATTGCCAAATGAAAATCTGTGCTGTTTTATTTTTTTGTCAAACAAACATTTCCCAAACATTAATTGTTTTCCTTTGACTGAAATAAGTGATTTAACATTTTGCTAGCGTTCGTGTGTAAACAATATAGCTTGATTATACTATCAGAAGCTCTTAGCATCGACTCAGGTACGTTGGATACGATAATCCTCTATCTTATTCCTAGTCTCTGCTAATCCAAAAGACAGATCCTCTGACGTTTTATCGTGAGACGTCAAAAATGATTAGTCCAGTAAATCAGGAAACGGGTGAAAATATATTAAAGATGTCTTTTACAGTAGTGAAAAAACAAATAATGATCAATTAGGAAAAAGCATAATAGGTTGTAAAAAATTTAAAAGATGCCTCCTTGTGAAGAGTTTCGGTGCTCAAAAGAGAAATTAAGATATGTGAAAAGAAAAGAATAAGGTAGCAAGAAAGTAAGAGGCGTTTAATAGTATGACGGTGTTTAAGTATCCTTAACAATGTGGAATGGTTTACTGGGATTTATTGTCGTTTTTCAATGATAATTTCTATCTGATAAGTTTCAATTTAATATTTTGAATAAGATGATATTTGTGGTCGTAAATCAATAAATTTTGAAAAGCTTTTAGTAGAACATGAAATTAGTTTTATACTTTCTGTATGTTTTTCAATATGATAAAAAATATGGGTCCAAAATCAAGTATTTTCTTAAATAATAGAGGGCTAGTGGGGAGTTTGTTATCATGTTATGGTTAACAGACATAAAGCACTAAAGTGACTGATGTGATCCAATCTCTAAGTTGTTCACTTAGCGAATCCCAGTGAATAAATATTAGAATACAGAATTTCTAAACAATCAAGCAAATATATTAGAGAATTAAATCTGTTATTCATACTACAAAATGAAATGATTATTAGGAGAAAGTTATTGCGTAATCCTTGCTGAAAATGAATGTTGCCAAATAACCATTGAAACTTTCATTGTTCCAGTGGTATCAGTTTTTACATAAATATACATTTTCTAAGCTTCTTATTATACTCTTAACAGTTAATTTTCCAAAAGAACTTACATTTCATGGTTTACTAAAGTGAGGATTGTGAGCAGCCGTTTACTCTCGATTATACTACAGCTCTAAAACATCATCTGTAGGGGTCAAGATCTTGATCATAAATGAATCCAAAGCATTGCATGGGGATTTTCGAACCACCAAGTAAGCACTGTTGAGGTCGGGCTTAGGTTACTGGACAAACATACCAACTGATTAACGAGGCTATGAATTTTCACTAACTGTAATATCTAGGACATGTGTCATGTAAAGTAAACTATCATTTACCTTAATATACAATGTTATTTGTAGTAGACGTAGTTTTAAAGAAAGCTAATAAGTGAAAAAAGCAAGACATTGGATCATTTAAGAAGTCATTAGTTGTTGAAGTGATTTGTTTTGGTAGATGAGCGCTCCTGGTTGGGGTCTATACAAAAACTTCGATCTACAGACTGGGATGTTGGACAACTTATCTCAGACGCATTCACTCTTTATATTCCTCTGAATCTTGAATTCTATTTATTCCGTTTACTAGAATCATAAAAGTAATGTCTACTTTTCTACACTATCAGTGCTACCTACTTTACTAACATGTATATTTTTCTAATTTCACTTCGTTGAGTTGATGTGGTACGGTAACTTAGAATAAAGAATATTTGTGTCCGGCTCTAGGATGTTGATGAATGATTGAATAACTTACAGTCATTTAAATATAGCTTACATTTATAAATTTTAATGATTGTTAAAATAACAGTTTCGAAACTGATAAATATACAATCCACTGTTTTATTTACCAGGAGTTGTTCATAATGTATATGAAAACCGTTAAATGAATGTTACAAAAATGAAACAACTAGGTGACTTAATTTGTTCTTGGTTTTTATCATGAAGTGATATTAATTAGAGAATCATTGAAGACCAGGGAATACTATACATCCGTACATTCTCGTTTAGAACTTATTGATGGCTCTCATTTCAATGAGACAGAATCGAAGTACTTCTAATCCCATTTATTCGAAATCCAGTCCTTCACATGTTGAACTTAAGTGATAATCTCAAAGTAAGATATAGGTGAATTCATGATTGTGGTGAAATTGGTTTGCCTGTAGGGTTTTGTTTGATTACGATATAGTTTTCGTCATTTATCGGCTTCCTGGAGCCACAGATAGTTCTTTCACCCTCATGTTTTAAATTCAACGAAACTGAACAATAATTGGTGAATATAGTTAAAAACAAATATCAATCAGTAGTCATGTATTACAACGCTTATTTATTTTTTTCGTATACTGTCAACTAAATTATTAAGTAAGCTAATAATGACTAAATATTTAATTATTTACCTCGGTGTTGATACTCTTTGTAACTGTTGAACTGTTATTTCTGATTGATCACGTTGTTTCATAACTTCATTTAATTGATTTTTTAGAAGTCTGTGAAAGAACGAAATTTGTTTATCGATTACGTAATTTAGATATTAAAATTAGAAATGTTTTCACAAGTGAATAAATGACTGATAACAAATTATTCAGTATGACAGTTCATTAATTATTTTATGTTATATATGAAAAAAAATCAAATGGTAGGTTATCAAAGATATGTTATTCTGTCCTCTTGTGATACCTGTTTGAATGAAATTTTGGAAATCTTCAGGTGACATGAATGATAAATATTAGATGAAATCTAATGCATAACAGTTATTCGAATATTATAATTCACTACTTAGAAGTGATTAGTTACGTAAAATCATTGTAGTGATTTGACTTGTACATATCATATTTTTAATTATTCTCCGAGTATTGTCTTAGAAGAGGATGAGCTTTAAGAACTATTAAATGTATTATATTCATTTCACCTTTAAACAAGAAGGTTTCTGTGATATATTGTATTAGAAACTTATTTAAATGTCGTTAGAAGCATTTTTATAATTATAGTAGTCCAATTTATTACGCTGTAAATACTGCTGTCCGGCTTAATCAACCGACGAGCTATCTGAGATTGTTGCTCTCTTATACATGATGCTATGCTTTTTTAATCGGTAACAAATACGCGAGATTTGTGTACAAGTATTATATGACACAATTAAAACATAGAAGTTTATATGATCGTTAATTTTTTTAATTGAAGCTTATAGTAACAATTATACTAGTTGCTGACTTATTTTACCATCTGACTTAATTTAAGATAAACTGTTAATTAGTTTGTAGATAACATTCTACTGAGATTAGTAAACACAACTTAAATAAATTTGTAACCTGAGAAGTTTGTTTTTGACAATGTTTCCCGTTAAAAGTAGTTTGAGGAGTGGAATATTTGTCTTACTATTGAAAAGTGAAAAAGTAGGTTGTTATGAGCTCTCTATTTCTAGACAACTGCAAACGCTAAAAACAGCATTCAAAACAGTCACTATAATTCATATACTGATATCACATTTTGAATAACACCTGAAAACGTAAGAGCAATTGTTTCTTATTAGACTTAGACGTAGAATGCAATTCATTAGAATGCTTCTTAATGAGCTTATTGATAATAATGAATCTCTTTACAAATTGTGTCCGAGTAATACTGAAGAATAAATTATTGGTTGAATTAATTTATTTTACCAAGTTACTGTTCTCAATCACTTTTAAAAAGACCAAGTCAAAATTCAAAGACACTAAGTGACTAATGTATTTTATGATGAATTTAATGATTTTGGTTATAACGGGGTTGATACATAAATCCTGCTTTAAAAGTTATGAACTCACATTTTTTTAATAGACATTAGTGGGAAGGAGGCCTAATTTCAAAGTTTTTTTAATAAAACCAACCAAAACATCAGCAGATGGGTAACAGGATCTTAGACGTTGTTTTTAGGAAGGTATTTAATTTAAAGAACGTATCAACTGATTTTTCATAACCTTTTACCAGAATCTTGGAACAGTTGAGACAAGTACAATCAATAAAGATGAGCGATGACCGTATAATACAACAAGTGAAGCAAGTTCGATAGTGTTAGCTTTTATAGACATCACAATAGTCTAAATAAAACGTTGACTCCTGAACTTGATTCAACTAGTATAATAAAATAACCTTGATTCTAAACGACAAGGAGTAATTAGATAAAATAAGAACCTCAAGTTCTTTTCTCTGTCCATATTCTTCAGATCACTAAATTGAATCTTCTGACGTGTGTTAAAAAGCATGCAACACAGTTTATTTAGAGGTGCCCGTCTATGGACACCAGCCTTCAAACCTTTCTTAAATAAAATTATTCTGATAACAGGACTGGTGAGTTAAGAAAAAAACGTCAGCTATACAAAATTACAAAGCACTTACTCCCACCCTTGGATAATCATGAATAAAAACAAACTTGAATTAACGTTAGTAATATACATACTCCAAAGATTCATTTAATTCCTCATTTTCTTTAATCTTCATGTCATAATCGTTTTTTATTTTATTATTTTCTTCAAATAAGGCATCATACCGACTTTTAGGCATAACATTCACGTATTCAGCTTTCAGTCGAACCACTTCAAATTCAGAAGCTGACTGAGCTTTTCTTGCTTGCCTAGAATAGGAAGTGAAAAATATCTAACTATGAACCATACACTTTTTGTGAAAATCCGTACGTTATTCATGAGTAACATAGATTTTACTTGTTTTTATTGAAGGATATAAATAAATACTTTGTCACTTTTTCCCCAATTTGTTATGATATTGGATGTCTTTTGCTTGTTATATCACCTCAAAAAAGGTTTTAACCTAAAATAAATTCTTTTTCTTATAGAACTATGCAAAGTAAAAAAATGCGTCACAGTAAGCCTAGTTTGCATCACGTAGTAAATAATTTTTAGTCCTAAACTAGATATCAGTGAAGTCGAATCATAAACTAAAAATCCAACATCTTTCACTCAGAAATAGTAGGAAATTTATCATACTTCCACGGTCGTCTGTTGGTGGAATTAACGGATCTAAATACTCTAAACCAAAGAGTTTTGAGAGTTGAGTATTGTCATAATAAAGCGTGAGTGTAAACAAAGACGGTGAAAACAAGCTTTTTTGACAATATGTTTGTTTGATTTTCGTTAGATAACTATTGGTTATGACTCTTTTTGTGATAGAACAAATTCAAATAACCTTCTTATAAATTGAATATATTTTTGAAATATCTCCAGAGAATACCGCCTTTAAAATATTGATCGATGGAGTCATACTGTGAGTGTAGGTATGAGTTATGGTGTATTGCTGACCTGGAACACCAAACTAGCTGTTGTGAACGAGAATTCAAGTGGGTGAAATCAATTTGTTACTGAATGCAAACGTACGCAGTGGCTTAGTAAACCATGGAAATCATACATTAAATACATCATTTGCACATGCTTTTTGAGTTGCCCTTTATATACTTCATTATTCCCTTAATTATGTTGTTAACTTGATTAGTTTCCGACTTCCCTTCCTGTTCTCTTCGATTCAGTCTTCTGCTGTCAGGCACTCCAATTCCGATTGCAGCTACTTATCACTTATATCTGTTACCATAAGTAGCAGACACCACTTAGGTATAATAATTGTATGTTCGTTTCATTAACTCTAGAATGATGAAATAATTATCAACAAAATCGGTTCACGCAGAAACCAGGCTTGTTATAGCATTCTTTATCTTTCTAAACTGCACTTAAGTATTAGATAACTATGAAGTTTACTATAAACAGTAGTTAAACGGGTTTATTTGTGACAGTCACAGTTTACTTTTTTCTGAAAATAAGTGTGACCAACATTGAGAATATCTCCTGAATTAGTTTCACATGTCACAAATAGCTCCACATCACATGTTGATGAGATTTTTGTATTCATTTCGGTAAGTCGGTCAAATTGTAAGACTCAAAATAACCTCAATATTAGATAAATTAGTTATCCCTAGTTCTTTCTTATTTTAAGAACAAAACGTCTCATATACAGACTGTTCGTGTACACGGATAGTTTTGTGCTTATATTGTTTAATAAAAGGTTTCCGCAAGCGTTCATCCTTAAATTCGGCAGAGCAACTGTAAAATAAGACGAAATCATTATCTGCTGCTTCTTGGTTATCACTTAGTTTGTTGTTCAACTGTCAATGCAGACATAAAATTAGTGGGCTGAGTTTTTCTGCAGAGAACGTAGAGCATAAAAAAACCTTTCGTCGGTTTCAAAATACAACACTTACTCTAGTGCGATTTTCAACAAGACTGGATCATCTTGTCGGTTAGTTTTACTTTGTATTTGCCTAGATACCCCTTCACTTTCATCAAACTGCATTCTCATTGCATTAATTTCCGATATTAACAACCGTTTTGCATCAGCTTCATATCTAAATTTGTCGTGTTCTTCTTTAATTGACTGAGTTAATTGTTCTACCTGAACAAATAACCGTTGGAAAGTAAATATTAGCGTCAACGCATAAAAAAATTACAAATTGAAATCTTGAGTTTCTAAATTTGGCTAAGATCTGACTAGGAATTTATTTAGTCAACTGCTAGGATTGGTGGAGTAAACCTTTTTGAGACAAAGTGTGGTGGAGTTTGTGTCACACCTTGCTCTTTACCAAATTCGAAGTGGATAAATGGGTTCCGAACATGTAAGTTAATCGTTAGAAGCCTGATAGTTAAACATATTAAGCACAGTAAATCATTATTGGAGTAATTTGTTCTTATATTGATATGGAAGCTTCTTTGCAACTTTAGTTTCATAATAGAACCTTCTTAAAGTAAAGTTTGGATCACTTAGCAAGATGGTACAGATAAACCTAATGTGATCTATTAGCTTGCATGAATATAATCGGATCACTGAATAATTGTCTGTATAGGTACTTATATGCTTATAGAAGTCTAAACATTTATTCATTAAGAGCCAACAACAGGTTTTCGTTGTCCAAATTTACCATACTTCGATAGCGTAACATGATAAATTTTAAAAATGAACAGAAAAAGGAAACAATGTAGTGGAAATGAAAACCTGGAAAATTAAATATCAAAAGTTTATTTCGAAAAGAGTGAGTACCGGGATTGACTGAGCTGCAAGAGAAAATTAACTCACGAGCTTTTTGCATGGTAATTTGCTACCATAACTATGTAAGGAATTTAGCAGCGAACCCTAACGTAAACAGCTAACAGAAGCCTATTTTCGATTGTCACTTGGTTGATCAGATACAGAATCTTGCATAGACGTGTATTGACATAAGTTTTCTAACATTTTCACAGAATGATAAAATTGCCAAGACAAATCCATAAAAGTAAAAGTAAGAATCGGTCAGTAATAGTAGAAGAGTTTAGGAATAGACAGCATGATGTGTGAAGAGAGAATAAATCGATGAAATAGAAAAAGATGCGGTAAATTTATTGCTCGAAATCTGGCAGATGAAAAGAATGAGTGCATTTGTACAGTCGAACCCCAACCTGAGACATGTAATATAGAGAGCCAATCAGAAGTGAGTGCATTTCATTGGCTAAAAAAACATGTCAAGTTTCTAAGGATAGAGGGCTATATATATATATATTATATATATATGAGTTAGTACTTGGGATTTAATTCGGTAGCTCTATACACTATCTTGCTCACTCGTGTGTTCTCGCCCAAGTAATCAGTTGGAGGGTTAGCGTGCAACAGACTGTGTATCAATATCAGTTATTTGGACACTGCCCAATGCAATATAATGTCAGTCAGTTTCTCCAGTCGGGCTGACTCAACTAAATGATCTGAACCTCTTAACCTAACCAAACACGTCTGTTAGCGGCTTCGTGTAATGATGCAAATATTTTGGCTTGGTTACTCCCAGCATTCTTACAAGCAACTCTTGAATCGGAAAATTTCGCTCGTTGAGGTGGGTGGTCATGTAAGAGTAATACATGTTCCAGCCACCTCAGTTAGTGAGTAAAATAATTCTCAACTTTTTAAAACATGATTGTGAATAAAATTTGATGTTGCTGAAAAAACAGCAGAAAAAAGAGAAGTATTAATGGTTGTTTTGCTTGATAATTCCGTTACCCAAAGATACTTTAAAGTAATATTAATGAAGATTTTAAAGACTAATTGAAATACATTAAGTTGATTTTTATATTTTTCAGTTAAGTAAGATCACTATGATATTGAATACAGACATTTTAAATGAACATAGCTGCACTAATTTTGAAGTATGATATCTAACTGGACATATGACTATTAAGTGAATTAATTTAGTACCATTGGTTAATTTTGTGCTCAGTTGTGTAACTGATTCGAAATCCCTTGAGCATTACTTTGTTTGGTTGCAAGCATATCTATCTCTCTGTCTGACAGTCGTTTTATCTGTCTTTCTGTCTGTTTATTTATCTATGAACACTCTGGATAGATCGAATTTATCTCAGTACACCGCAGGTTAGACTATTCTAATGTAGTCATGGACGAATTTACTACAGTACAATTGCGAGAGGTTCCAAGTCACAGTGTCAATATGAATTTTATTTAATCACAAAACGGTCTATTTACGTGTTAAACCAATTGTACTATTCCTGAAATCCAATTAGAACGACTCAGTCCCATTAAACTTTGGTTGTTTATTAATACTGTACATCCTAGCCTATTCAACCACTTAAATATGCACTCAAAAACACTTTTATTCTAATTTTTAGTTCAGTTTATTTGTCCTCAGTTATTGGGCATAAATATGACGAATATAACAACCACTTGATAAACCGGAGTAATAAGTGAAAAATGATAAAAATTGAGTCACTACATCATCTAAGTGTGAGAAATGTAGAGCAGTCGACTCGTAAGGATCAAACTGCAGCTAGAGAAGGACTGGTAATAAGTTAAACTTGGTTGCTTTAAAACTCGAAAATCGTAATGACATTTGTTGATTACTAACGGCTTGTTACGTCATTGAAAACCAGCGGTTCTGTGTAGTGATTATTCGAAATGCTGTCAAAAAGTCAATAGTATCAGTTACGTCAAAACTCTTCAATCAACAAGAAAAGTTTACCTTCCCAATATATTTTACTATATATCCGCCAATCTACATACATATAAATTGAGTCATTCTGACAACAGACCTTGTTTGAAAAGGTTTTTTTTATTTGAAATGACCGTTTGTACCACTATATCACTGTTAATCATAATGTGGCACTTTCATTGTCGTACAGAGAGTAAATTCTGGAGAACATGCAGTGAATACAGTGACTAATGGTTTATATATCAAGTACGAAGGCTTTTCTAACAAAACTACCACTACGAGAAGGATGATCTAGCACTATTAGGCTACATTTACGAACTGAAAAGAAATCAGCACTTTTTAATATAGTTCAAAAGATATTTTGATCAGTTTTGGGAATCCACATAGCTAAACCCAAATTTTGCAAGCATCTAGAAACTGACCAACACAGTGATATAAATTCTTACAATTATCACCACATGTGTTGATAAAAAAATCTCTTATTAACCAATAATTATAGATTAGCGTCACTTTGTCTACTTAAAAAATTACAAAAACAAACGCAAATTGCACTGACAGGTCATCGAGAGTTGATAAGTTAATGAAGCTATTTTGGGCGACATGGCTTGGAATTAACCACACAAACTCAGGCGCACTCGCTAGTTATCTTCCCTTAGATCACATGTTCCCACATTACCTTATAAATTTTTTTCATCACTCAATAAATTGGTATTTTCTTCTTGTATCTTATCTTCTATGACTAAGTTTTGCTGTTGCCGGGAATTCCGTAGCTGCTTTTACTACTCCGGGAATTGTCGCTAGATTTGTCAGTTTCATCCAGATTTGCTAACGTGTTATGGTAACCTACACACGTGCAAAAATATACCAGGCTATACGTTGTATTTACTAACTGACTGAGTAACTTGAGTTCATACTTACGCATTCACAAATCCCGTCAAATAAAAACAACGAGCAAAGATAACTCCAAAGAAGAATAATGCGATGCGCAATAATAAGTCAGAGTGAAACTAACTGTCAACCGCAAAATAAGGTATATTACATTTTTCACCATTCATTCTTTGTGAAGAAACCGAGATATAGACCTGATTATCGAGTAACTGAAACTGTTTTTCGATACAATCAATAGCGTCACACGGTTGCAAACAATTATTCAGTGGCTCACCTGAGTTTCTAGACCAACCTTATCCTCCTTTAATTGTGAAACCAATTCTCTCAGTCTTATAATTTCTCGTTTCAAGCTATTGAGTTCTTGTATGTTGCTAGACTAAAAAGTAAACGGTTACCCGGCCTTTCTCGCTTTTGTATTTTCAATATACGTTCATCGCACTCTTGAGAGATTGTCCAGAGGTATTCCTATGCGCAGTGACAAATGATAGTAATAAACATATTATAAGTTTCACCTTGACTGGTCTAAGCTTTTGTGCCTCAGCCTTATAAAAGTTTAAGTATTCTTCATATTCCTTGTTGATGACGGAAAGAAACGTTCTGTATGTCTTGAACTCATGGATAAATGATTGAAATGCTTCTTTGTAAATCTGTCAGTCGAACAAGTGAATGCAACTATAAAGAAAACTAACCTGAAACCTGAGGTCCCTTTCATCTGACTGTATATTTTTTAAACCACTGCATATCTTCTTTTCGAGTGTATCAAGGAATTTTGGTTTGGGAACAATGTTAGGGATTTCTTTTCAAATTACAACTATTTAATAAGTAAAAAGACACCAACTTGTTTCAACTTCTGTCAGTGAAACTAATTTATTATTGATAACACACGCATTTGACTTTGCAAACACCCTTCCAAGGGCATGTGCTGGCCACTTTTCCAAAAAATCCTCTAAATCTCCCATTGTTCAAAACCGTGTGGTAAGTTGTTATGACAACATATTGAAGATTAAACATATAAATGGAAAATATAACGTTCTTCTGTCATTAGTGTATCGAAGATGCATATACGATCATAAAAACATATTGAAATCTGAATTATGATAAAGAAACAGTCGAAATAGCTTGTTATTCTTGCAAAATACACAGTGTCTACAATCTATTTTCCTGTGTTGTGTCTCTAGATTCTGGGTGTTATCTCTTAAGTTTGTGTCAAAGCTAAACTTAACTAGGTGTTTAAAGGGATGTAAAGAAGTGTAAACGATACTGTTAGCGATTAGAAGGTCACCTCTAAGGCGCCTATACTCCAATGGGTAAAGGTTTAGTGATTGGAGGCGCTCCTCATAAGGCTTGAATTCGAGTCCCCGAACTGATTTCGCGGCTCGCCATCGGATACGCTCCAGAGTGTCCTAATCCTTTTGGAGTGAGGGAGAAAATACCGTTTCCGTACTCTGAATGGGGATGAATAGAACTGTTGAACATTATGTGGAAATTCTCCCGTCGAACTGGCCAAAAATACGCTTCAATGTTACCAGTGTAAGGTCTGCTCGAAAGGCATTTTTGTCATTGTTGCGTGAGAACTAAAGACATTTGACTGACTAAAACCTTTTTTGTGGTATATTAATAATTTTACTGTGTTTTTTGGATGTATTTGTTTTACTCAACTTCTGAACTTGCTTGTTTATATCATTATTTTTGGACATTTTGGGTCAAGTTTTCCGGTCCTATTGTTCGATTTCGTTTGGATTAATTCAGGTTTGCTTTGGTAACCGATTCTTTAGAACAAAGGTATACTATGGAAACGCGAAGCAAAAGGCCGAAGGAAAATGACGAAATGGAAGGCGAAATTTCTAAAGCTGTTCGTGGTATGTCTGATGTTAATGATGATCAACATGACCATATTAGTGTTAATAATATGTGTTGTGATCGACTTAGTTCTTCTAGACTGAAGTTAGCTTTGACAATAATTAGGAAGAACAGTTTAGAAAAGTGACTTGAGTTAGAAAGACAGTTTGAGATGTTAGATGTTCAAGAGGAGGTGTATATTGCTAAACTAGAGTGTAAGTTTATGGAGTATAACCGGCTGTCCATAGATAAAGGCGAAGTGAATGCAAAGAGAGGAAGATATTCGGATCGTGATACTGGCGGTAATAATCGTTCCAAGGATACATACCATATTGGTAAGCATGGCTCACTTGAACCAAAGTCTTCTTCAATAGTGGAACTAAACGAAGAAATGTGTTTGGAAAATTCGCTTAATAAACGGCAATACAATGGTAGTGTTGATGGGACTCAAAATGAATCTTACGGAAAGGTGGTTGACGCTTACTTCGTATTTACAAGAGATTTAATGTTTATACTGAATTTACGTGACAATACTACCAAGGAGTGGTTCATACGATTAGATTTGTGGCTAACGATCATGGGAAAAAAGGCTTTATGTTCTTCTGCAAACTCAAACAGTTGTTTGTGTGTAAATCTGCAATTGTGCCTGAAGCCATGTAGTATGGTCACTCATTTTCTTGAAGAGCTAGAAGAGTGTAACAGTGTTGTGATTTGGAATCAGAATAAGGAGTTCGTGATAAATAAATGAGTGAGTGGCTCGATACTGGTATTCTGAGAGATGCAGGCAGGAGAACCATATGGCACAAGTATTTTGGAGACCATTGTCTAAGGAATATGTTTCTTTGTTGCAACGTATACACAAATGGACCCCACCAGAGACGAACATAAGAGAGAGTGACTCGGTGACATGTTCTGATTTCCTAGAGAAAGACAAATGGCTATTATGTCTGGTGAGGAAAGTGATACGTAGTAATGATAGACTATGGCCGAAGGAGTTGAAGACAAGAAAAAGATTCCTAGTAAGAGATATTCTAATACTGCGTCTTGAAGGCGTGGATATTAGATAGCTACTCGGATTTCTCGGCGTACTGCTGTAAGTCCTGCGAATCACGAGGTTGTTGGTACATTGAATGTTTGTTGTTGATTGTTCGTGATGCACATACTTAGATCGTTGCTGCCTATCTATTTGTCTGTGAAAAGAACCAGTGTTCTTTTGGTCGGGAGTGTTACGAGAAAACTGAAGAAATTTGACTTCAAATCGTAAGGTACCAGTACTCTTGAATCTTTTTCAACTTGCGATACTTCTAGAGAGGAGTTCCTTAATCTGTAACTGTAGTCTGCAACATGTCTCAGATGGACTACTTTACACTTTGAAGTGTTACAGGTACGTCCGTCGTCATCTGCTTAACTTTGAAGTCGAGTCAGTTCCCTCTGAAGTACCAGTACATCCTCTTGGTTGCGTCACTCTCTCCCAAACTGACTTCTCGGTTGAATAGTTTGTAATATGCTTATTCATGCATCCATCTTTCTTATTTCTAGTTGATGGGAACATTTAACATGAATATCCTGATGGTATACTTCAGATGAATTAGTAATAATCAAAATGTGTTCACTGATTTATTTTGTGGCGGTAAATAAATCCTAAGAATTTATAGTTGTGAGAGTCTTTGCTATTTGTCTTGACCTTAGTTTTAAGTAGACATACCTCTATGTGAATTTTCTTCGCCAAATATTCCCAACAGATCACGTTTGTGTACACTGTGCTGCTAAACTCTTACTGCAGTTATACTGTTTAGATTGAAGACATCTCAACGTTATCCAAATATATGCTTGCACACATTTTCTCTCTACTTTTGGTTTGACTGAGCACAAGAATTTGTGTATAAGCAGAGATAGCAGAAAACGACGTTATTAAGAACTTTATACCTTTAACTCCTTCAATTTCTCTACTTTTTACAATATCCAATAACTTTGTGGTGAGCTGATATAAACCGTTAATTCTTTTGTGTCATCTGTTTGACATTACGAGAAGGTATTGAGGAATGCCACAGGTATTTGGAGTTCGACAACACTTTAACCATTAACACCTAAAATGAATCGTAGCTCAGTAGTAATGGTCCTAAGACGTGGCAAGCCAAAAGTTTAGACCCGACGAGTTTGTCAATGGTAAACATTTGGCCCAGGAATTGTGTTGGGTATTTGATGGATATTCAA